ACGATCCCCCCACGGCTGGGAGCTGGGGATGTGTCTGTGTGGGGGGCTGGTGGGGGCAGGGAGAGGGGCTGGCCAGGGATGGGTCAGGACTGGGTGACCCCGAGCGGCCTGAGCCACGCCTGCCCAGGGAAGCTTCCAGAGGCCTGGGCTGGAGGGTTGATGGGGCCGCCCCGCATTTTCTAGTTTCCAGACAAAAGCTGTTCAGCCTTACTTACACTGGGGCCCCCAGAAGCCACACCCCCTGAGCCCTGGGAGGGTGGGCTCCCCCCAGCAGCTGCCTGGCGCAGACCCAGGGCCAGGGTGCTGGCGGGGGGAGCCCCTCTGCTTTGGAGAAAGGGGTGGGGGCTTGGGGACCAGCTGCGACTTTGGGGACCTGATCTTTGTCCCAGGCTGCCGACTCCCATGCCACCGTGGAACCCCAGGACGACAGGCCCTGCCTGGCCAGAGCACTCCGAACCCACTGGGTGGCCGCAGGCAGGAGGGCCGTGGGGAGGCTTGGTAGGTGGGAAGCTGGGGCCCCATGTCACAGGCACCCCCAAAAGGAGACTTCAGGAAATGGGGGAGGTTGGGCAGTGGGCACAGGGGTGTGGGAGCCCAGGGCACAGGAGTTTTAGGGGTGCAGCTGTGGGGGCGCAGGTCTCCGTGGATGTGAAGGGCCACGGAGCTGCCCCCGGGGCCTGTGGTCAGGCGGTGCCTGGGGGTCGGGGGGGGGGGGAGGCGGGACCCCAGCTGCAGCAGGCAGGTGGAGCCCCGCCAGGCGCCGTCAGTGAGCCCCGTGCCCTGTCCCTGGGGCGCACACCTGCACGTGCACGTGTGCCTGGTGCCCAGTGCAGAGGACACCTCTGGCCTCTGAGGGGTGCCTGGGCTGGTGGGGTGCTGGGACGTGGGGGTCCCTGGACAGGGGCCCTCTGTTATCCCCCAGGGAAGGCCCCTCTCCTCTGTTCCCATGTCTGGCTTCCCTGCACCTTTGTGCTTCAAAGAGTGAGGGCCAGTCGGCTGTCGGGGTGCAGCTCTTCAAGGGGGGTGGGTCTGGGAGAAGGACCCCACTGAGGCCGCAGGAGAGTGGAGCCACGCCTC